CCGGTTGCCCAAAAGACTTTTGGGTCCATGTCGCTTAGAGATCTTCCTGCTTGAGCGCGATCCTATCACAGTGGATTTCAAGAGCACATGCATGTTGGCTTTGGTACCTTATCTTTGCTCGTCTAATTCAACCATATTTGTTAGAAGCTGGCACTCGGGTCATGTCCGGGCGAAGGTGTTTGTAAAGAAAAAACAAAAGGATAAGGGAAAAAGGATAAGGAAGGATATTGGATGAGATAACTAAAATTTGTAAGACGTAAAGTAGAGAAAAGAGAAAAGGCGGAGAAGAGGAAAAGGGAAGAAAAAGGGAAGAAAAACAAATAAAGGGTAAAGAAGAAAAGAGAAAAGAGAGGATAAGGAAAAGAAAGAGAAAAAAGGAGGAAGAAACAGGAGCTAGGAAAAGGGAAATAGGTCCTCAAGGAATAGTTTATAGGATATACAAAGGCTACCTAAATTCCTCCGACTTCCCTTTCCTCTAAAACATCCTAACTAGGCATCTGTTTAACTTCAAGGCTCTACTGATGAACAAAGAACAAGGGATGTTGATACCTCTGAGGCTCCTGACACCAACTGTGAATAGTCCAGGAAACCTTGGGCAAAGAAAGTGGGAACAGGAAATACCATGAGCGATAGGGACCTGTTACTGGTGTGCTTGTCCGTCCTACAGATCCTTGCATGACCTTGCCTGTCGGTAATGAAGTAGAGGAAGTTCACGGTCAGCTGAAAAGCTCAGAATGGCGTAGAACTTTTAGTCGATTAGTTACCAGACAATAACTCTGTTCAATGACATCTAGTTGAGACAAGTCCTTTTGCCTTCAACCCTTGGGCATCCAGCGTCAAAGATCGGTTTACGAGCTGGCCATTCATAGTTATCAGAGGATGCGGATCTATACGTTGTGGCCGTTATCCTGATGGTCGTCCCGGTGCTTGCATAAGCCCCAACTCGCAATCCTCATAAGAATTTGCTGATCACAGACGGGAAGAGACCTGAGTAGTACCCAAGGCTGGCAAAAAATGGTCGTTGATTACCCCCCCTATGCTCAACATCACTCCCCTTACAACCCCCAACCGCTTGTCACCTCCGCCCTCACTTCCTCTCCTCACGCTTCACCGCCAGGTCCGCCACCTCCTCCTTTACATTCCCCTCCTCACCCCCCTTCTCACCCCCACCCTCTCCTCCACCAGCAGCCGCCCTTTGCTTCTCGGCGTGCTTCTTGGCACGCTCGGCATCGCGGGCAGCATTAACCCGTTTCTTGCCCTAGTATCATGTTAGCCACGTAGTCCCAAACCAAGCCAGACGCCAGGTAACTTACGCTCCGCTTCTTCTTCTTCTTAGCCTTGGGCTCCTATGGGCAAGGGTCAGTAGGTTGGGTCATAATCGTGGGACGAGGGACCTTACCAAGGAGCCAGTCCCCTCCTCCTCCTCCTCCTCCTCCTCCTCCTCCTCCTCCTCCATCTCGGCAGCGAGCTAACACACGGTTAGCATCCCTGAAATCTCATAACAAGCCACCGCAATAGAAGCATCCAACTCACTCTCTTGAGACGGCCGGGGCCGCTGCCGTCCTTGGCGCCATCCATGGCGGCGCCGAGGAAAGCGACTTGGCGGGCCTCGGACGCCCCGGTGACGGTCACCGTGGTGCCGTCAGTAAAGTTTATAGTCACTAAGCACATGTTGGCCAGGTTAGGTATGATCTCGGTGTGTTGTGTGTTCTATGCCTACGGGTCGACTCTCCGCCCGGGGCGGCGGGGGCTTTGGCGGCGGGCGCGGGGGGACTGGCCGGGGGCGGCGGCCGGGCCGGAAGACTGGTTGTTTGAAGTCATTCTTGGATTTTGTTAGCAGGAGGCTCAAATACGGAGGACACAAGCAAAGGACATGTTGTAGCAACATGCAAAACGCGGGTCAAGAGTAAATAAAAGGCTAGTCCAAGCAGCAATACAATAAGACCACGATCGACAGCAGCAATTCCCAAAAGAACGGCTTCATCGCAACCAAGGGCTAGGGCAAGCTCAGCAAGCTCGGTTGTAATGACGGATTCCGCCAGCGAAAGTCGCCAGTCGGCCGAGGCACAACAACATCGTGACTGTGACCATGACATCAACCCATCCACGACCAGGAGCGAAGCAATGCGATGGCAATCAAATAAATAACTTGAACCGCAAGCATTCAACAAAAGATAAAAGAGACGTTCAAGTGCTATGGTGGGCCCCGAAATCTCACGAGTAACCGGAGAAACAGAAACGGCAGAACATGAGCAAAACACGGGATGGGGACTTACGGGGTTGGTCGTTTTGAAAATTCTGAATGATTTCTGTAAAAACCCGATTATCAGTGAGTGTGTCTGCTCAAGATCATGATGGAATTGTCGGTACATCGCCGCCGCCGACAAGTCGCGATACTTACGCTGACCGTGGATGATACCTGAAGAAAGGAAAAAGAAAGAGGAAGCGGGAAGGCAGACTCGAACCGATTTAAGTTGGTGAAATCACACCTGGGCGGCCTCGGGGGTCGCGCTCTTTTCAAAATCGAAATCGGGAAGGCACGCGTCTGCCGGAATCACTTTCCTCCCCATCTCGGCCACCAGGGAATGAGCCACTGAGGAAGGCAGTAGCGTGGGTTGGGTGGCCGTGCGAATTTCTCCAGCACCGTGCCCGGGCAGTCATCATCGAGTCGCCTTCAGAGTCTCAAACTGTCCGAGTTCCTCGGCAACCTGACGTTCATCTTTAGGCATTGATGCCACCCGGGTCTCGTGTCCTGGGGAATGCGACGCAGAGTGTCGTGGCCGTCTCGCTGCGAGGGAGCACATTATGTTTCTCACACTGGCTTAGGCGTTGGCTAGGAGGAAAGATGTGCTGGTTATTGGTTATTGCGTTACTGGGGAAGCATGGGCTCGACCTGCTAGCTGGGGTTCTTTCTACTGTACCTAGCCTGGAGGTGGCCAAGGGAAAGTCCTGGGAAACCCACTGGAGGTGGTTAAGAGGGAGTCGCGTGCACTGGCTCAAGGGCAGTCGAGTCTACAACCCAGAAACTCGAGAAATGTAGGAGAACAAGCCGTACCGACCTATTTCTACTCCGGTTGGTGGCTCCCAAGAGTTGCTTGACCTTGCCATGAAGACACTTGACCGGCGAGCTTAGGAAAGACATGGCATGAACATCACGCTTCAATCGTAACAGGGCGGTAATTTGGAGCATGCAGTGTGCCTGCCTTCAGTTATGTACGCGCAACGAAGTATATACGTCCCATGGCAGAGAACTCGTCTTGCGGCACTCACTTCCATGAGCTGCTACCCCCATTGCCTCCCCACCTACTTAGTGCCGCCAGCTCACTAACAGGTGTTCTTGCCGTTGGGCGTGAAGGTACCCGACTGGTACATGCCACCAGCATCGCCCAGGCACTCGCCTAGAAGATGTCAGCGGATCCCTCCCAAAGACGAGAGGGAAGAGTAACTTACCAACAGTAACCAGCTTCAGGTTGTTCTGCTTGGCCCAGTTGATCAACCACGGGGTGAGCGTGTTGACGGTGCTGGCGTACGTCTCGTGCATGAGGGGGATGTGGCCGTTGCCGCTCGCACCGGCCTGCTGGAACACCTGCTCGCTCTGCGCCGGCGTCTTGTTGTTCCAGTCGCCCGAGTCGACGTCGTCGGTGATGACCTTGTAGCCCATCGACTTCAGGACCGGCAGCACCTGGCCGCTCGTCTCAAGGTATGGCGGCCGCATGTACGCCGGCTTCTTGCCGATCAGGTTGACGAACGCGTCCTCAACCTTTGTCATCTCGGACCGGACCTGCGACTCGCTCATGCTGCCCATGTGGCCATGGGTCCTGTTGTGCGTGAGTAAGAGCCCGAGAAACTAGCGACTGGGAATGCTCACCATGTGTGCGAGGCGAGCTGATGGCCCGAGGCATAGGCCTTCTTGACCGCGGTGGCCTGGTTGTAGATGCATCCGTAGAGCGTACCGGTCCAGAAGAAGGTGGCCTTGGCGCCGGCCTTGTCGAGGGTGTCTACCAGCTGCGAAGTGTACTGGTACGGGCCATCATCGTAAGCAAGCGCGAGCATCCCGGGGTTGCTGCATTTTTGGATGACCACGCCGGGACTCGGAGCCCGCTTGATGAACTGCAGCGGGTTCGGTGCTGGCGCTGCGACCGCGCTGGAGGCCAGCAGCAGGCCGGCAATGACAGTTTCGGCGAGCATCTCGTTGAGTATGTGAATCGCGGTTGAAGGCTGACTGCAGATAAATCCCCAAGTCGACGTCACTCAGCCCTCCCATATATATCCAGACGTCCCAGCCCCCTGCCACCATCCCCACGGATCTGGAGCCCGGGACACGCGTCTCCATTCATCTAGTTCTTCCGCGTCGTGTGGGGAAATGGAGTCGTAGTCGGGGCAAGGGAACGGAGGCAAGACTCAGCCGCCCATTAAGGGGGCCGCGCGGAATCATGGGACATCAAAATCTGGGGTATCCGGCGCCAAGTGTGGACCAGCTTTCTGGGTAGCTCATGGTTAAATACCACGCGACTGCCGGGTTTGGCCGCGGTCTAGAATATATTAACCCAGGGCCCAGTTCGGCATTTAGCCGCAGGTCTCGTACTATTCACGGACAAGCAGGATCCACGTCTTCCCAGGCACACTAACGTGGCGGAGGGCAAGAGGATGGAGAAGTGATCACAGCTCGTGGACTCCGCATATCGGGCACGAGTATACCAACATTACTGTGTAGGGTTACGACAAGGAGTCCAAACCCACGGGGGTGTTGTTAATGGCGGTGCTCGTCGAGATGGTAAAGGGGGACGGGGCTGGGCTACCCCGCAAGAAAGGTTTCTTTGAGGGGTGATTGAGACAACTCAAGGGAGTGTGGCTTGTTAGTCCTCAAGTACATACCGTGTACATATCCTAGATTGGAATTTGAAGCATTTCACTTTCTTGTGACTGTGGGGTCCTCTGGAGCTGTTGTGGAGACAAAATGGGGGGGGAGGTTAATGCACGAAACCAGCAAAAGCTAAGCTTGACCACAACCCGATTTGAACGGATAACCTTTCGATTGCCAATTGAATTACTGGAGTCGAACGCGCTGCCGTTGCGCCATGCAGTCTTGCTGTCATTGATTGAAGGAAGGGAGCAATCTTGGTAATGATATCGTTGGCGTTGTTAAAGGGTTTTACATTGGACACTACCTAACACCAACCATTTACTCTAATTGATTACCTATTGATCAGTACTCAATCCAACCTCCAAGGGCATTATAGCTTAGATAATACGTTATAATAGAGTGTCCTACTATCAATTGCTAAATAGTAAGTACTAAGTTAGTAATGATATTGTTAGTATTAGTCAAGGGTTTCACTTCGGCACTATCTAATCCTTTCTCTGAACACCTAGTGAACCTATTATCATATACTATACTACGGTTATAGCCAGGTCTCAGGTTTCTAGTAGCGATTCCAAGGACTAAAACAAATCACTATATGTAACTCTGACTGGGGTTGTATAAGTCTAGCTTCTTACTACTAATCTCTAATTACCTGTTGTATCAAGCTTTGCAGACTGCTTCAAGTCTGCTATTTGTCCGGGTTTACCTCCGTTAGGATAGCCGAATTCAGGGGTGGTAACTTAAGAGGATAGGAGAGCCGGGTAAGCTATTCTCACATTATTTGTTCCTCCTACTCCAATATATATTCCTATCTAACAGAACGTCCCTCAAACCATACTAAAACTCTCAGCCGAGCATCTCCAATACAAACCCACCATCCTGCCTTCTCTCACCTGGTACAGGCAACTCCTCACCCCCCCCTGAAATCCTGATCCTCTCCAGTCTACGCCTCCTTTCCCGCCCTAGGTCACATCCACCCCTCCGACCGCCTCCTACCTCGCCTCCTAGTCACGCCGCACCGTGACCGCTCTCGGCAGGTCCTACTACTACAACTTCACTGACGCCCTCGGCGCCGCCTTTCCCCTCTGTACACGAGCCCTTGCCCGTGACAACGGCCCGTACCAGCAATAGGGCATAGAACGAGCCCGATATGCAAGGGGGTTGCGGTGCATGGTACAAGATTGCAGAACCTTCCTCGTGGGCCGGGTTCTGGGACAGGTGCGAGTACTTGGCTGGTATTGGAGACGGTCAGGTTGAAAGGAAAGAGAAGGAGGGGCAGGGGGTTAGGGGTTCTGCCCCGAAAACAGGGGACGGGGACGGGGAGACCGGAGGGCCAGGGGAGACGTCCCAGGGCGTTTAGGGGTATGTTGGACTATGGATGTTAGATAGAGACTGGAGAGAGTGCGGCTTTTCCCGCTGGGGTGGTTGCTCTCACGAGGGGAGGAGGGAGGGAAGGAGGGAGGGAGGTGTTGGATCTGTGGATGGTCATCTGAGTGACATGGCGCATGTGCACCTGTCCCCCCTGCTGCTGGAGTAACCGCACCCCGACCTACGGGCGTATGTTAAGTACGTGTGTGGCTTGCCGCAGGGCAAGGTGTGTATAGTTCTATCACGGTGTATGTTTCCATGTTAGTGGCAGTGGGAGGTGGAGGAGAATGTAAAGCTGCCGGAGAGGGATTTGCTGAGGCGTGGTGTGGTGGTCATCTCACAGAGCGCACTGAACTACGACGTGTTGTCCGCGCCAGCTGGCGGCACTACAAGGCGAACTCGTATCCAAGGCGCAGCCTGACACTACCAGGGTGCCGAGTACCCTTCTCTAAGTTTACCAACGAAAGTCGTCTGCTGACGACACCCTAGAAACTCGGATCACGATTGGCAGCTCGAACACCCCCTGGGTTGTGTTTCCAAAGCCGCTGTCAATCTTTGTCAGCCCCTTCAAGAATCAGCAGGAACCCAGAAGCAATTATCTTGCTGATCTTGCCTACATCCTAGATGGGCTTGAAGCACATTTGACTAAGCACAATGTAAGCTCCAGCAAATGCAAGTGGATTCATGAGTATGCTTCAGTGGCATTCGTTGTTATGTCTGAAGTTCTGCCAATGCTTAAAGCACTTACTTACGTCGTGGTGTGGTCCTCAAGGTACAAGGTTGGTTTACCTGATAAAAAGGGTAGAGAAAACTCTCCTTTATGGGGCCTGATTGTGGGATAACCCCCTTTAAATAGCATGAGCGACAGACCGTCTGAGTTCAGAGCCAGATTCGTCTAAGCATAAGACAACGAAATAACGTATCTTATAAGCGAGATGAACATATAAGCGAATTGAACACTTTGACCGCGACACGTCTTCTCTCTACACCACATACCAAAATCCTCCACACCCAACGATGTCTTCGGCTTCAAGAGAATCTAGGGTAATCTTTGCCCTTGAAGCTATTCAAAAGAACCCAAAACTTAGTCTCCGCGCCGCAGCAAAGATCTATAACGTAACAGTCAATACCATCCGGAACCGACGCGACAGCAAGCCTGCACGATGCGACACCACGCCCAACTCGCGCCGGCTTATAGATTCTGAAGAAGAGGCAATAGTCCAGTATATACTAGGGCTAGTCGTACGCGCTTTTCCACCGAGACTGCGTAGTATGGAAGATATAGCCAACCAACTTCTATATATACGCGACGCGCCCCCTGTCGGCAAGCTCTGGGCCTATAACTTCGTCAAACGCCA